CCCACCAAGAGCCGGGGTCTGTTGGAGGTTTCTTCCGTTAAAGGGAGTTTTTCCTCCCCACTGTCGCCAAGTGCTTGCTCAAGGGGGATTTGTTGGGTTTTCCCTATGTAATAATATTGATAACAGTAAGGGCTAGACCTTACTTTGTAAAGTGTCCTGAGATGACTTTTGTTGTGATTTGGCGCTATACAAATAAAATTTGATTTGATTTGATGATAAAATCCTTGGGCTGCTGGTAAAGAAGCCAAATGCTGATGTGACAAGATTCCCAAATCAAACAGCATGCTGTTATCAGTCTGAAGAGTTTTCATGATTCCTGCTTTCAGTGTGACTATTTTCCAACCACATACTGACAACGATAGAAAGTGCTAAAGAATAAAATGCTGAGAACAGCTTCATTCTACTATGTAATGTAACCGTTTCTACAAAACTGCATCAATTCACACATTCCCTTAAAAATAAAAGATAAAATATTTAACTCTTTACACTCTAATACTGAAAAATGCCAGTGGCGGTTAAAAACATAAATGACAAAAGAATGGGGAAACAAAAAAAAAATGGAGCGCACACACAAAAAAGAAAAGAGTAGATTTGAATGTGAAACACTGAGGATGTTTCTACTTACCATACTGGCAGCTGGGCCCGTTGAACCCTGCAGGACAGTCACAAAGCTGGGTGGATCCCTCCTGACACTGGCCCCCATTGAAGCACACACCATAGCTACACACCGCTGCACATACATGTGGGCAGATGGGGTTGTAAGAGAAGAGATAAAAATAAAAAAAAAATAGGTAAAAGAAGAAGAGACACCTGGCTGTTTCCATGAGATATCAACATCTGCGGACACTGGCTTCTTTCTCTCAAAGCCTTATCACCAGTCCGTTAACTCCTGACTAAAGAGAAACCTTGAGTCTCCTTTGAACCACACTAACCAAAGTAAGAGGAATCCACCATTTAGCTCTCTTTAAGCAGATGAGCAGGCGAAAAATTTTTAGACTCCATTTTTACAGAATGAAAGTGTTTAAAATGAGCAGCAGCAGTAGCCTGAGTAGCTGAGAGTCTTATCCACGAATGACTTGGATTAACTGAGTCAACTTTTGATTATTGTCATAAGCAGCGATTGTACAGATGGTGCCTGGTTACATGAGTCATGGGGTAAAATCAGAGAGCCACAGGGTGAGGGTGGATCATCCATCTCTTGCCCTGCATCCATAAATCACCGCAACTCAAACTGCTCTCCCTCTTTAAGATGTGAAATTCAAAGAATCGACAATGTATAAGCAGTAGGAGTGAGAAACAGTGGGAGCTCTGAACATGTGAATCCACCTCAGGTGTACAGCCACATTCCTTACACTATTTACTTATCTGATGTGTGTTGAGGCCAATATCTCTGAAGTAAGACAGAGCTGTTTAAGCCTGTTGTTTACACTCTCCTAAGCAGAGTACAGTGCTTAGTGATGACAGGTCCAAAGGATTGATGTCTATCATTGTTCTTAATGACTGGCGACATGTCGACACTGGGAGTGAATTAAAAAAAAAAAAAAAAAAAATGTCAAGCTATACACAAGAGGAATTAACTGCCAGTTCTTTACTCATATGAGTGTGGAGACAAGTTTAACTAAACATCTTCTGCCAGATATCAATAATGTGATCAATGATCAATAATCACACCAGGCACTGCTGGTTCTAATGGTCATAGTGATGGTATCAAAGTGCCCAAGACAGCTCACAGAAACCGTGTGATTTCAGCGTGCCTCCATCAGATTTACCATGTTCCTGTTCTTACTGTTGTTTTTCTTGCTTTTATCTCATGAAAATATTACTGTTCTCTACTACATGTACAGTATCAGCATTTTTAAAGTTTTATCTTATTGTGCTTTCATTAGGTTTGGTTGTATTTATATTTTAACATTGTCCTGCTAGATCATTGTGAATCAAAAAATGATCAACAATTGTAATAACCAAGTTGATAAAGGGTCATTCCAGGACTGTTATTTAAAAAAGAAAGCCAAATATTTGCTGATTATAGCACCTCATATATGAAGAGATTTGCTGCTTTTCTTTGTTTAGTACAACTGTGAATGGAGCACAGGTTTGAGGTTAGAAAAACAAAAAGGAAGACACCGTCTTTAGTTACTTCAGGGTGTGAAAATGTGAGCTGACAGAAGTGTAGCTAGAGTCTGGTTCAATTATTTCATGTCAGCCATGGGGAACAGCCTAACATTTGTAGACGAAAAGAGGCAGACATGAAGATGTAATCTCTAATCATCGCAGATGAGCCAGAATCATTTCATCCATGTCTCCAGACTCGTAAGGCTCCTTGGAGCCTCAGCACTCAGCCTAAACATCCGCATGTCATCTGGCCCCATCCTCAGACAGCTGCTCAACAGTTGGACCATCCAGGGAGTCTACAACAAATAACCCAAGCATACACCCACACACACTGTACTGTACAAAACACACAACTCAAAACCGATCTCTCCCTCTCTTCCACAAAACACTGTTAAATACTGCCATGTTGTGCTCAGTAGCTAATAATCCAACATCTTGCCCAATTTGTGGAGCTACAGAAATCCTACTCCAACAGTAAGACAGTCTGACCACTGCTAATCTGCTCGTGATGACTTCCAGGTCCTCAAGACTGTGTGGCTAAAAGCTATGGACACACGGTAGTAGTGTTTTAGCACACAGTAACAAATACCAATCCCCGCTTCTGTGATTAGTTAAAGCAAGGGAATTCTGATGTGGTGAAAGCAACAGATAACAGACAAGCAGAAAAGAAAACACTACTGTCCACGGTCAGCTTTAATTGCACAGTTTCAACTAGAGCCAGGTTTTTCAGAACAATGATATTACCACCTGCTGTAGGAGATCAAATTAATGAAACATTCCCAAATTGTGGTTAAAAAGCTCCAAAAGAACTAAATCACCTGCAACAAAGCAAAGGTCAGATGTCTCTCAGAGTTACTTCGGGGTAACAAGGCTAA